AGCGGGCCACCAACCCGCGTCTCCTGCATCGGCAGGCGGACTCTCAAAAGTACTGCGACCAGGGAAGCCCAATCAAATGATTTTTAACTAATGTAACTAGTTTTAGTTACCTGTTACAGCACAATCAACTCATTAAGATCTACTATTATGACGTTCAAAATGCAAAAAATCTTCATTTATCTAGTCAAACATGTTCCTATATCCTTGCCAGCGTATTCAGTCAATAAATATTTCATTTGAGAAATATTTATTGAGAGCATCCTCAGTGCCAGGCAGCATACTCACTTGGGGCATGATAGGATAGACGAATCTAGTACAATCCAGCAAGCCCAAAACAACTTTCTTTTTCTGGAAACCCTAAAATCCCAGAAGCCATGTTCAGACTGTGTATGATGAAACCAAGGGTGGCTTTCTGACATAAGGGGATGGGGGATGGGTAGCAAACAGATGTTCTCTTCCATGAATATGGAACACTGCTTTAAACTGCTCTGCGGTCATGCTGGGAGACTGAAATTATAATATGTGGATTTGGGAGCTATGGGAAAGACTTAATCTGCCATAAAAACAGATCTGATGAGATCAAGAAAAATACAGCAAAGTGTATGGAGAAGAGACACACTTGAGGGCTTTCCAGAATTGAATTCCAAAACATTCCTGGGACCCAGCTGAATTTCTTCTCTGAGGCTTCCTAAGATTTTCCTTTTTTTTACACAAAATTCCCTTTTATTTTTTCCAACTCAGGTTGACTTCTATAACTTGCAATCAAAAGAGTTTGAGTGAATAGACCAGTCATTTCAGATTCGTGGATTTGTACCCAATGTCAGTCTGATGAGAGAGAGAGAGAGAGGAATCTAGTTTGGGGCAATTTCAAAATGATGTTTCACAAACACCAAACTCTTGTTACACTGTAAAATGTCACAAAATGATTGATAAGTTTACAAAAAAACATCCCAAACAAGAATTCAGTAAAAAGTTGTGATGCTTCTTCTGTTTGAGCATTTTGCTGTAATCATTCTCAAGCCCATTTCCTTTCAGAAAATAGTAAATTAGCTCTCCTCAGTCTGTGCTGATGCTCTCGAGTTAAGCCTTAAGGGAGGACATCTATCTCTCTGCCCTACAAGCCACCCGTTATGTTTTGAGTCTTGAATAAATGCCACTCTGAAATATTTTTTTCAACCCATATTTTCCCAGCTGGCTTTCATATCTATGCCAACTGGGGGAATAAAGATTGAGAAAAAAATCTCTATCTTCACCAGGCAGGGAAATATCTCCCACTTAAGAAACTCTGATTTCTCTCCAGGGGAAAAGATGAGCAAGCAACAACCAATTATGCGTGAAGTCACACAGTTGAGTATACATATGAGAGTAATATCCTCCAATGAACTCAGCACGAGAACAAAGCTCAAGCAGGTGTTGATTTCTACAGCCACCTGTCATAGGGAGACACCTGATACCTGGGTCATGATCCGAAACTGTCCAGATTTCCTGTCTCTCTTTTCCACGTTACTTCCTGTTTCATTTCTCCTTCTCTTGTACCTTCTCTCCTGCTCCCTTGGGAAGCAGGAAATCAGTACAACTCTGGTACTCAGGGCTTACCAGGTTCTAAAACCAACATGGAAGTTTAGAAACTAAGCTTGGCAGCACCAGCAAAAAGATGAAAGCAGAGGGAAGAAATCTGACCAGAAGCACTTGATATACAGTAAGAATCCCCCTGCCAGAGAAACTTGATGCCCTGGTTCCTGCATTGCTAGCAGGTGGATGTTTTGGGTCATCCTGGCCTGGAAACTTCCACTCAGATCATCTCTCTTGGGATCATCATCCTCCAGGGTGAATCCAGAAAAGACTCCTCTGGTTGGCTGGATATCAAGTAGTTTTAATATCAGAATCAGTTACTGACCCTTCATGCTTATTTCTCTGCCAGGTTTGATGCTTTTTTTGCTATGAATTTCCTGGATTTGATAGTTGTCTGGCAATTGAACAAGGATTCTTTCC